TGTCAGGAGAACCTTGTGCCTTATGTCTCTGCCAGGATGGATGAGCTCATGAACAGCATCAGGGAATTCCTGGGACTGCCTTCATCCTGTTAACACTGAGCAATCCTCAGTCTGACTCCTCTGAAGCACAGCAGCGAGGCAACTTAACACCATGGGGAAGTACTTTAACTCCTAGTGAGAACAACCTACATCACTTCAGTCTTCTGTCTCACAGGCAGGGTGAGAAGGGGACATGGGAAGTGCTGGGAAGCTGATGCAGTACTTCTCTGCAGAGTGCTGCCAACCTTCATTCCCTTCACCTACCGAGCCAGCTGCCGGGTGGGCTCCAGCTTCTTCAGTTGCCAGAGGTGCTTTTGCTTTCCTGTGTCACATTAAAGCCATGCAAATAGTTTCTATAGCAACAGGTCTTTTCTCCTTAGCTCTGACGCAAAATCCTGAAAGGTCTTTTCTCGTTGTGTCTTCATGCAATTCTGATTTTTTTTTTTTTTGCTTTTATCAACTCTTCTTGAAGATAAAGGGGAAAATTAATTCTGCTCTGTTTCAGGAGTTAACTTGCACCAGAGGTGACTGTTCAGTTTTTAACAGTCCACTGAAGTTTCTACAACAGGATTTGAACTTAAGGCTGATAGAAAAATCAGCTGGAGCACCTCTGCTGTGAGGACAGGCTGAGAGAGTTGGGGCTGTTCAGCCTGGAGAAGAGAAGGCTCCAGGGAGATCTTATAGCGGCCTCTCAGTACCTGAAGGGGCTACAAGAAAGCTGGGGAAGGACTTTTCATAAGGGCAGTTAGTGACAAAACAAGGGGAAATGGGTTTAAGCTGAAAGAGGGGAGGTTGAGATTAGATATGAGGAAGAAATTCTTTGCTGTGAAGGTGGTGAGACAGTGTCCCAGGTTGTCCAGAGAAGCTGTGGCTGTTCCTCCCTGGAAGCGTTGAAGGCCAGGTTGGATGAGGCTTTGAGCAACCTGGTCTAGTGGAAGGTGTCCCTGCTGCTGGCAGGGGGGTTGGAACTGGATGAGCTTTAAGGTCCCTTCCAACCCAGACCATTCCATGATTCTATGAAAGCGTGCCCCAACTATAGATATAATGCTTGTTCTTATTCCCCTCCATCCAGTTGTATATTTTAATTTGAATCTTAGCTTTTTTTTAGCATGATGTGTTTAGGCTTAAAGACTTAAGCAGTAAATTCCCTTAGCTTGTCTGGGATGGTGGAGAATGAAGATGGTGTTATTTGCAGTCTGGTTTATAGACAGGGTTTGGTGGTAGGACTTGAGCACAGCTGTGACTAAAAAAAACTCTGAGAGACCAAGGGAGGATGTATGAACATGTCCATCTTGCTGGTGGAGGAAGTGGTAGTCCTGTCCTACTGACGTGGAGGATTGTGTTGGTGGTATTTGAAGGGAGTAAAAGTGTTTCTTCATTTGAGAGGAAGAATTTCCTTTTTGCATTGAGGACAAGTAGCCTGTTGTGGAGGAGCCCATCTGAGCTGCAGAAGCCTTGCTGTGTCAGGAAACCGAGCTAGCAATATTTATTTCTAGCCCTCCTTCCCTCTAGAAGCCCTGCTGACTTCTACACTTTTGTTTTGAAGATCCTGGTGCTGCAGGAGGAAGGGATGGAAAAGATGCAGCAGCATTAGAAGGGCAAGTGGGTATTTTAGAGCTGAGACACGCAGCCAGTGTAACAGCCACGTTGCTCTGTGTGAACTGGGACAGGCCTAGGGAGGGACAGCACGACTTTACTCTTGCTCTCAGGGCAAGAGCTAAAATGTTTTGGGGCCTTCAAATGAGGAAACCCAAATTAAACTAGTGAAGCAGGCAGTGCCTGAGTTGGTAGAAAGAAAGAATGGAAAAGAGGCACGAATTTGTCCCCAGCTTTGCTCCTGGCCCAGTTAATCTGAGGCCCTGTTCCCCTTCTGTCCTTTCAGTTCTGTTAAGTTCTCCAGAGCATGAGCTGCAGGATGCAGGGCGAGCTTCTCAGGTCCCTATTTGATGCTGTTGCAAATTGAATGGCTAAAAGAAAAAAAAAGGCAGAGAAAGTTAGATAAAATGGTATTAATGATATTGCAGAAAGTGTCTGAGTCTCTGCCAAACAAGTCTCTCCTGTGTAATTACTGAAAACAAGTGCTGTGGTGGGACGTAGCACAGCATCTTGCCACAGCTGCTCTTACCTAACTCTTCTCTTGTCAACACAAGGCTAGGATTTCCAAGGGGTTGATATAGGGATAGACAGGCTTCAAGCTATGCTTATTTTCAGAAGAGGCTTGTGAAGCGGGAGCGGGAGGGATGGGAGCAGGGTAGGGGTGACTGGGGCTCTCAACATCATGGTCATTTACTCAGTTGCCTTCAGTCTCACGTTTTGTTTTGCCTTGTGCCTCTGTATCATCTGGTAGTTGCAAAGGGGTTATTGGAGGGGCTAACACTGAGCTGGTTTCTTCCTCTGTAGGCTCTGTCCCTCATTCTTAAGGAGTAACTGGTGCTTAATTAAAATCAGCACACCTTGCTGCAGGCACAACTGCAGAGGTTATGCAGCTGAGCAGGTATCATCTCTGATCTGGCTGCAGCTTGCTGCTAGCATTAAATAAATCTAAGGTGCAAAATTGACAAGACCTGTATAAATAAGAAGTGTGAAGCACCCCACAGCTCTGTGGTTATATTCTTAATGCACAGATCTGTGCTTACACACCTTTAAAACCTCCTTGGCTGTGAGGAGGCGTTGCCCAAACCACTGTGACTCCGCTCTGTTAGCCTAAGAGGGGATATGCAAGGAGAATGGATGACCCTTGTGTTCCTATTAGATTGCTTTAATCGTGGGAGGGATGCATTTTGTTCCTGAAGTTACCTGTGTGATACTTCATGGGTCACTTAATCTTTTTCCCCCAGGTTTAAAATAGGGCTAACAGCTGCCTCTGTGGTACAACACAGCTCTTCAGGATTCCAGTGATAATTAGGTTCCTTAGATAAAGTTTGTAAGAATCTATTAGTATATATTTTATAGATGAATAAATGTGAATATGCATATATATGTACATATATATGAAAATTCATGGCTGAAGTACCTTATATTGAGGCCTTGGCCTTAAGCTGCATCACATATTACTGTGACTTAATGAGAATGTGTCCGTTTTTGATTGTTCTGAACAGTCTGCTTCAAGTGTGCTGACGTAAATCCATATCTGACATCGGGCTCTGATACGCTCCTGGCAAGGCTGGTGTGAGCCAAGCTGGTGGTCTAATAACAGCAGCAGTCACTCTGGAGATGCTTCGTGGATCTGTTTGGATTTTGTTTTAATAACGTTGGCCATAGTAGCAGGTTTTGTGAAACCACTGTTTGCCTTTCTGCTGTAGAAATGGCACGTCTGCAGAGTGCTGTGGGAGGGAGCTGAGAACCCAGACGGCTGCTCTGTCTTCTTCCCTTCCCTCTCCTCTGAGCCTGCTCTGTTTCAAATCCTGGCTGAATTCATAGTCATACAACTGCATGGTGCTCCCCTTGTAATCAACATCCTCTCCATCACTGTTTGGTGTAAACTAGACTCTGAAATGTTGAAGAACAAAATCATGTGCTTTTATGGAGTTGTTTCCTGCCTTCTTCTGTGCCCCCAGTCCTGCTCTCTGACCTGATCAGAAGCCTTCTGGGGTTCAGCCTCGCTGTCTCACAGGTTGCCAGCCCTTCTCAGGAAAGAACGTGCGTCGCAGGCAGAACATCTTGCGCACAGTTTCCAGGGTTACCTGTGTAGTGCTGATAGCAAGCAGGAAATTAAAATGCTCCACGATGATGATACGTTATCGACAACAGATGGTGACCATTAGGTGTACGTGCGTGTCAGGGGAAGGCAGAAAGGCAAGTAGAGCAGACATGACTATTAGATTTGTGTAATTGCCACTGCAGGTGTCAAGCTCTGCTGTGGATGAAGCAGGGCAGTCCCTGAGCACCCTGGTTCCCCTTCTGGCCATGGTGTATGTGACTCTGGTTCTGGAAGTAACTCCAAGTAGTCCTTGTGGCTTCAAGCTAACTTGTTGCAGAGTTCCTCGTTCGGATTATCAGCCATTCTGCACAGCAAGTTCTCTCTTGCTATTCTCTCATCTCCCTTCTGTACAGCTCTTCTCTCTTGTCCTTCAAAAGGCTGTCCTACTTTTAACCTCTCCAAGCATGGTCCAGCTGCCTGCAGTCTTTGTAGAGACTGTAATGATCTGCTGTAACCTGTATCGGGATGGCTTGAGGACGTGCCAGGGGACTGCTAAATCTGGAAAGTGAACTGAGGATCTGTTATGCTGAGCTCTGAGACTAGCAAAGTGTCATGTTATATGTTCCTTTTCTTCCTGAACTATCTCTTCTTCCTTCTGTCTTTATGGGTTCCTCCACCTCACTTCTCTGTTAACTCTGAGATGCAGGCATGCCTGCTTTCACTTCAGGACAGCAAATCTCTCCCCTGATCTGTGAATACAGATCTGTCTCTTCAACTTTTGTGTGTGCCCAAACAGCTGCTGACTGGGCTGCTTCAGGATGAAATAAGGGAGTATCTTATTTGGGTGCAAAGCCTCCTTGAAGACAGTGATGCTGGTGTTGAAGTGTTTGAAGAGACCACTGTGATGGCTGAGCTTTCCTCAAACCTGAGGCTCAGCTTTGCTTGTGGTATGTGGAAGCACTAATGGAAACCCACTTTGAGATGTGTTCTCCTCAGCACTGGCTTTATCAGCTATAGTCTTAATTGCACTTAAGATGTCAGTCATTCTGCAAAGACTAGACTTGTTCTAACCTGGGCTCAAACTGTTATTTAAATAAAACACTACAGGCTGACTTTTGGTGTAGCATGTAGGTAGTCTGACAGTATGCAAACCAAAGTGTACTTGTGATGTTACTCCTTAATTACCTCCCGTATCTTAACCATAAAATCTATAGTTCTGAGAGAGCTGTGCTCTTGCTACAAGCTTTCTCAGATACTGGCTGGAAGAACCTTCCATGCTTGTACATTTAATATTTTTTTTAATGCAAATGTTTAATTTCAGATGTTCTGAATGACGCCATCTTTGATGAAGATCATGATGAGATGGTAATTGTGAAGGACATAGACATGTTCTCATTGTGTGAGCATCACCTCGTTCCATTTGTTGGAAAGGTAACTGTTCCTCACAAAACAAATGTGGGAATACATGATAAAAGGCCTAAAGTTACGTGTTGTAAAAGACTTTGTAGCTGCAACTACAAAGCTTTTAAAGCTCTAAGTATTTACTGCTTACGGCTATGATTCTAGAAGTTAATCTTCAGAATACAAATAAGGAAGACCTCCTTAATGTGAGTTTTATTTGGATTTAAGCTCCTAAAATATAATGCTCAACCTTTCCTAGTCTAAGTAATCTAATGGTTTCTGACATTTCATATCAAAGCTCTTCGTGAAGCAGCACCAAGCCTTGAGGGCAGACATCTTGATATTAAACTGGCTCACCCTGCACGCTGGCTCTGTCACGGATTTAACTTCTGGCTCAGAGCTATTTAGTGCACATTCATCTTGGGAACACCCTGTGAGTGGAACAAACTTCTGATCAGCAGCCCTTTCTTAAATAAGCAAACCCAGTCACTGACTAGCAGGAAGCTGCTTAAGCTGGGACTCCCATGGAAGGGGCTGGTGTTTCAGATGGTGTTGAAATTGTGGTGACAACAACTTTAAAAAGAAAATAAAAATTCTCAAGTTAACCACTGTAAATGTGAAGAAGAGTGCAGAGTGGGTAGTCCCTTCTTCACATCTTGGCCCCTTCACTCATGTGTCATCATAGAAGGATGGAGCTTATTCTGATCCATCAGTTGTACCATAAAGTATTCACAGGCCAGAGAATAGCAAGTGCTTTTGTTGTCTATAAAATTGGATCAGTACCACATATGTTCCCACTAAACTGTCTCCCAAAAATAAAATACCTGAACATAAAATACCTGAACCTGAAGTGTTGAAGGCCAGGCTGGATGAGGCTTTGAGCAACCTGGTCTAGTGGAAGGTGTCCCTGCTGATGGCAGGGGGGTTGGGACTGGATGAGCTTTGAGGTCCCTTCCAACCCAAACCATTCTGTGATTCTATGAACAGAAACCAGCCGTTTACTTAGTGGAGTCAACTCAATTTCATCTGCTTTCTTTTCTTACTGCTAGTATGTTATACTGGATAACAAGGTAATTTATTTTTCTGTGCAAGCTTTCTATATCATCTGTTATTCTTGGTTACACATACTGTGTATATTCTCTGTGTTACTCCTGTGGCAATGTATGCATTCTTTTTACATCTAGCTATTTAGCCTGTGTGGTTTGGAGAAATCTCCTCGCAAACACTGAATTGGTCCTGCTTGTCTAATGATCTGCTAAATGACTTGGTATGCCTCTAAATATTCTCAGACTAACCATTCTCCTGTTGGGTACATCAAACAGGCTGCAAATACTGACTGAGAGGTCCTGTATTTGCAGTTCTATCTTAAATGAAATTAAGAAATTCACAAAAATACTCTGGGGGGTACAGGATTCAACACTTATTTCTAAGTTATGTCTCTCTTACTTTATCTGAAATGTTTCATGTCTTTTCAGGTGTCAGTGGGTTGATTACCCAACAGAAGTGATAGGAATGAGCGAGTTAGCCAGGTAATTAGGTGCACTGTGGTACCTCTAACTGCAGGTACAGCAACACAGGATTCTGAGATGGGGCCTCTAGGCAAAGCACCAAGACAGAATCCTACCCTGACACTCCCCTACTGTATCTTGGCTAATTTTTCAAGTCTCTGGTCCAGTGACACAAATGCTGGCTTCTAATCTGTTATAACTGTAAACCCACTTGAATTCAGTAGCCTGTATTGCTTTCTAAAAACAAGAAGCTAAATGGCTTTCCCCCTACCTTTGTATCCGAGCACTTTTCTTCTCAAGAACTTATTCCAACTTTGTGCAACCAAGTTCACTATGAATGTTCACCAAATCCATATTCAAGCAGGGTGGAAGTTGACTTAATCAAACAGTGATCTATAGTACTACCAATAGTAGAAAGAAAAATGAGTAAGTGCAGCCTGATTTTAGTGGCCAACTACTTCTTGCTGTCAGAATTCTCACTGGAAGTAAAGTAGAGTGCCACTCCCTCCCACTCCCTAGATCCATTTTAGGTCTTGAAAGAAAAGCATATTTATGTTAGATGAACAGTGCTGTGCTGAGTAATAGACTGCTTTTTAGACCAAATGTAGTAGTACCCTTTAGCATTCCTGAGACTTGGAACATAAGCCTTGACTCTTCCAGAGTTGTGATTTTTCACCTCCTCAGAAAACTTACCTGTTCTTCACCAGGACACTGACCTCACCAGGCATTTACAGTCTCTGTTAGCTCCACGATTTTTCAGGCTCGCATGGTGGCATGTTCCTCCCACATGCTAAGACTTCTGGACTGTTCCAGAGTTAGTTCTGGGACAAATACACATCTCATTCTCTATGCATGAGTTTCATATGGGTTTGGAAGTGTGGGTTTGGTTCTGTTAATGGTTTGTTCTCCTCTGTTTAGGTACATATTGGCTATCTTCCTAACAAACAAGTACTTGGCCTCAGCAAGCTTGCTAGGTAAGTGTTAACATAATGAAAGTGATGCTAATTTGTAAAAAGGATTCCAAGCTGTGAACTAACTGTGCTAATCTTTCTAATCTGGTCCCCCTCTAAAGCTCAGCCCGCTTTGTGTCCTGGATTTGGATTTAGACCAATCCTCAGCATTATGTTTTTTTTGTGGAGAGGACAGATAAGTCTTAGAGCTCTGTGTTAATTCACATCAGTCAACTGTAGTAGAACTGTAACGCTTTAGTACGCTCATCCAAAGCATTGGTGTCTGCAGGGAGCACAGAAACAAGAACAACAGAGAACTTGGTCTAAGGCAGGCAACAAAACCCGGTGGGGATCTCTAGCTACTTACTACTTGTGTGTATATTGACTGATAAGAACAAAAATCCAAAACTTCCAGACTGTAAATGAACACGTTGTATGGGTAGAAATTGAATCTAAAGCTTTCATCTGTTAGTTGTCTCTCCAGATAAATTTGACATTTCTTTCTTTAACTCGAGACCTGCTGAGAGCACCATAGGGTAGATTTTCTAAGTAAGATTCAGCCTAAGAAACAAAGCAATTATGATACACTTGAGAAATCCATTTGTTATGTAAAATAGCTTTTTCCTCTGCAAGTGCCCTGGGATCAGTTGTTGCACTGAGTCTTGTTACCAAGTGACACTTTCTAGTTCTGAGGTGAGGAAGAGGATGGTAGATCACTTCAATGAGCAGATTATTGGGGACTGGAGTGAAAAATTGGCTGTAGTTCAGAAAGCCCACATACGTTTTGCTTATGCTGTCCCTGATACGCCTGTTAATCTTGCTGTAGTTCCAGTAATACTAATGGGAATTAGCCTTGTAAATCTGCGTGCCTGCTGGGTTTCCTTAGCGGGTAAGAAATCTGTAGGGTATGACAGTAAAATGCTTTAAAGTCAGTCAGCTCTGTTCTGTGCTCTGTTTGCACAGCAGTGACTTTGGTTTGGAAGTCCTTGGGTCCTTGGAAGTCACATCTTTTTTTTTAATAAAACCTGATATTACAGGGGGGCCATCTTTGTGTCTTCTAGCAGCGCTAATAGGAGCGGACTTTGATTAAAAGGATGAAACATGCACTTCAACAGTTAATTTTTTTTTTTACATATATATGGAAAATTTGAGGTACAGTCAAAATTTTCTGTGACTGGAACTACTGAAATTGTAGGATGAGGTTTGGAGCTGACAGCACTGCAGCTGCTGGGTGAAGGACTTTGACTTCTATAGCTGCTTATGCGTGTCTCAATTCATGGCTTGTGTTTTGTGTTGACTGGCACATGTGGGGCTGAATCTTTTTAAGTGGTGAAGGATTTTTTTGAGTTGGATTTCTGAAGGTGAACACCTTTCCTGAAGAGACAGTCTGTAGTACTTGGGCTTGAATGCAGAATTCAGGATCACATTTGAAATAGGCATCAGCTGGTTTGTGCTTGCTCTGGTCTCCAGTTACCTCTGAGTTGCAGGTATAAAAACGAGCTCAAAACTGTCTTTTGGTGATTTTTAATGTAAGTGGGAACATGATGCTACAAGGGTACAGTTTTCCTCCTATTTATTCTCAGTGTAGAAACACGCATGAATATGTGTGAGGCTTCCTGTGCTGTGCTTGAGAGGTTAAATCTTGCCTCTTTTTCAAGTTAGGGTAAAACTCCCATATACTGCAGTCATGAAAAGATTAGATTCTTGTAAAACAAAACATTCTCAGTTCTCACTTGCTTTTGAGTGCATGCAATGAAGGGACTGGTGGGCCAAATAGTGCTTCCCTTTCGTGCCCTATATAATGCAACCAGTGTTCAAACAAAGATTTGTGAGGCTGTTGGTACTGTAGGACCTAATCTTTTGTAATAGGATTAGTCTAATGTGGTGAGTTTCTGTAGTTGTGGCTGACCTGTATTCAGTAAATAAACATCTTTCTTTGGATTTTAAGGCTCAGGCTTGAAAATGCTAATGCAAATAACTGTTTATACAAAAACATGCTTATAGGACTTGTTATATGCAATACCAATGTAAAAATATCCGAGCATCAGCTTGTTTTCTATCTGTATATTTAGTCTAAATATTATGTTGCTTTGTTTAGAATAGCTATAACACAACCATTTCATTTCTGGAGGGGAGTTTCTGTGTATAATTCTCTCTCCAAAACAGCAGGCAAGTCTCATTGTTTCTTGTAACTAATGCCTCAGGCTGCCAGCCAGTGTCTGTTTTTCGTCTTGTCTGACCAGATGGGTATTGAAGCTTTCTATAGCAACTTCTTTACATGGCCACTTGATGTGTAATTAAGCACTTGAGGTTGGCATGAATAACCCATTAAGTTATAAGACTTTTCTTAAATGTGTGGGTTATAGTACTGCAGTTACAAATGATGGTAGTATCATTTGCTTTGTCCCACAAATGGCTTAAATTTGAAGTCATGTTCGAGGGGAGCACTAAGGTGATCCTGCACTGAAATGTGAAGGATGGTGTGATATATGGGTGGAGAGTATCTGTTTTAAATAAAACCAATTCTGTCTCATTGTTCTTAGTTAAATCTGTGGTTAAACACAAGAATCCAAAACATCTCCTGCTTAATTTCAGTAGCCTTCTGGGAATCTCAATATTTAAGGAGTTGTCCTTAAACCAGCATTTGGTTTAGATTGAAGCAAAAGGAGGTAGTCTGACCTCAGTTCAAGGATTAGCTTTCAGGGAGTCTTTGGGCGTGGATTTCCTTGCAACTGTGTGATGCAGGTGGGTGATGGTACAAGTAATTCAAAAGTAACAACCAACAGAAGAAGCTCTAAGGAGAAGTGACAGGTTTGCTCTGAAATCTCTGGGGTGGCAGGCTGGGGGAACCTGTCACTAAACACAGTGATGTGCTAAGGGAAGTCCTTGAGCAGTGCCAGCCAGGGGCTGAGCAGCAGCCTGATGTCACCTTCCAGGAAGGACACAGATCCGTACAGTGGTCTTGTTTGATAGAGCCAAGTTAATTGTGAAGATCAGACAGTGGTTAGATAGGAATAAATATAACATTGTCTTTCTCCTTTAGGATCGTGGAAATATACAGTAGAAGATTACAAGGTAAACAGCTGCATTTTTGTTTTTATTATGTGTACTCCTTTGCTAGCCACTACCAGGGTTCCAGTAATTGTAGGTGGACTATATCTGCACAAATTTTAGTGTGGAAAAAAAGCCTCACTGTGTTCTTGAACAGATGATTCTCATCTGTCATCTTAGCCCCTGTGTTTCCAGGGAGGGGTAAAATCTGCCTATGAATATAGATGTAGGTAGTAACTGATTCAGAGGATAAATGTGCTATAAGATACAGCTGCCAGGAATAACTCAACTAGTTGGAGATGAACTCTCCTACAGACAGTTTGAGAGATGCCTTCAAGATTTCTTCTCTGAAGAGATGAAATGAGAGCTGTGATGTTATGGACTGCCTGCCTGCTGCCCCCCAGAAGTGGAGGAAGCTGCAGGAGCTGAGTCTTTGGGCTGGGCTCAGCCTGCTCTCATTGTCCTGCAGTTAAATTTGGCCTGATTTTGGCAACAGAAGTCTTGGTGACCATTAGGTGCCAGCAGGAAGTAAAGCTTGGCAGGACAATACTCCCTTAACTTGCTCATTTTTTTAATCTCCATTTCCTTTCCTTAAAAAGAGAAATTATGTGTATATATAGTGCAGCAGTAAAACCAGTGACCAAATATATCAAAACTGAAAGAAAATAAGAGAAGCAAGAAAATCTAACTGCATAACAGGAAATGCAAGAGCTGTTACCACAAATCATGGTAATGCAATTCCTGCAAAGGTGTAATACAAAATGACTTCCAATATAAACAAGCAAATAAAAGGTCTGTTCAGGGATATAAAATATAAGATTTGGTACTGGTAAAGTTTATTTAGGAAGAGCAGTACTTGTGTGTGTGGTGATGCTGGTGGTGGTGGGGAACACTCTTGGAAGTGAGGATGGGATGTTGCTGTCCTTTGTCCATGGCGTGCAGGTGGTGGGTTGGTGCTGGTCAGATTTAACACTGCTTCTGAACTCCTCCTTGTCTTTTCAGTCCAGGAACGCCTTACCAAACAAATTGCAGTAGCCATCACAGAAGCCCTGCAGCCTGCTGGAGTTGGAGTGGTTATTGAAGCTACGTAAGTTCCTCTGAGCTGTTCCATGGAGGTGTACAGGCTGCCTGTGATTCCAGCCGTGTGCTCTTGGGTTGTTGTGGCAGCTGTGTGCTGTACTTGTTTGAGGCAGAGCTCAGGCAAGAGTGATCCTTGATCCTTCAGCGAAATGGCCTGATGGGTTGGAGCCATTTAAAGTGAGGACCTGCCTTATCCACTGCCAGATTGTGGTTAGCTGCCCCAGTTGCACTGGGTCTGTGCTTTGCCTCAGTGTACCTTCTACTTCCTCATGTAGAGCAAAGCTTGGTTCTAGCAACAGGCACATCCCTGTGATCAGAATGCACCTTGGGAAGGTGGGATTTTCATATGATCTGATGAGAAATGACAGTGCTCAGGGACTGGGAATTTAACTTTCTTCTTCTGTAGAGGACATCCTGGATATGGAGGTTCTGTCACTTCCCCAGAATTTAACTCTCTGGAGAGCTGGGCAGAGAAAAACTTAAT